AAAAATCTATCTGACTAGTAGTTAGTTTTGTGTTTGGTGCTTGTTGTCTATTTATGCCAATCTTGATAAGTTGCTAAAATTTAGGAAGTAGCATTGTTTTCTAAGAATGAAGCCATATATATTAGAAAAAGTTAGATCTGTTGAGCGTGCCATTAAATTTGATGCTTTCACTTGGCAGGTATTGTATCGCCTCTTATATCTGATGCGAGTTTCAGACAAGGTTGTTCAAAGACGAATTGCTTTGACGCTTGCTCATCTCTGTGCCCCTCATGATCAAAAGACCATTTTTATTGATAATAATGGTAGTGCATTTTGAGTTTCCATTCTTATCGTAACTTATTGCATGGTGACTTGTTTATGCAATTTAAAATTTTTGCATTTCCAATTTATGCATGTTTCTCTCTAAGCGTGCGTAAATGTTCCAGGGTTGGAGCTGCTGCTGGGGCTCATTGAATCTGCAAGCTTGGAGCAGCAAAAAGATGGTTCAATTGCATTATACAAGTTGGCTACTAAAGCCACTTCACTCTTGCCCATGGACACAGCTCCTCAGTCACCAATTCCACAGGTCTGTTATATTAAATCAAGATAACTTCGATCATGATTAGTGTTTTCTTCAGAAATGGAAACCTATAAGTCTTTGGCTTCCTAGAATCTACATTTTGTTAGCTTGGGCATTCATGACAACAAAGTTGATATTTGTGCTTGCTTCAAATTTAGACTTGATAGAATTTCCCAATCACTGCAGGTCTATTTGGGTGAACAGTACGTAAATAATCCTACATTATCTGATGTTACATTCTTAGTTGAAGGTGTGGATTTTTCTTGATTGTGGACTTATATTTCTCTTTTTTGAATGTTGAGACTCTTTGTTGGATTATTGGGTTGTTAAAATTATTCTGCATATTTAAGTTTTTTATTTCTTTGTATCAGGTAAGCGGTTCTATGCTCACAGAATTTGTCTACTTGCTTCCTCTGACGCATTCCGTGCAATGTTTGATGGTGGATACCGGGTGAGGATAGAAATTGCGAACAACTTTCTGTTTAAATGTTTGAGTCATGTAAACTTGCTTTCTCCATCTCTAGAACACCCAATTGGCAAGACTGAAAATGAAATAATGGATGTGAGTGTGAGAGACAATCATTTAGAACTGTGATATAACTTCCTGATGATGGATTTGCATCCTTGGTAATAGTGGCTTTGCTGAAATTTTCGATAGTGACTTGCAAAAATTTTTCATCTGTTAATTAATGTGAAAATTTGATTGCAGGAGAGAGATGCTAAAGCTGTGGAAATTCCGAACATTAGATGGGAGGTTTTTGAGTTGATGATGAGGTGTAATTTTGAACTTTTGTAATTACAAAAGTGAACCCAATGCGAATGCTCTAATAATGACTAATTCTGTACCTTTTCATCTCTTTCTAGGTTTATATACACAGGATCAGTAGACGTGAACATTGATGTTGCTCAGGACCTCCTCAGGGCTGCTGATCAATATCTTTTGAATGGCCTTAAGCGGCTCTGTGAATGTACCATTGCACAGGTAAATGCAGACTGAGAGTTCTCTTTAATGACACAGAATGTATGCTATTTTTTGTTCTGACATACCTCTATCCTTTCTCTTCAGGATATTACTGTTGAAAATGTTTCACTTATGTATGAGTTGGCAGATGCCTTCAACGCCATGACTTTAAGGGAAGCATGCATTCTTTTCATATTGAACCAATTTGAAAGATTGAGTACAAAGCCATGGTATGTAAACTTTCTTCCTGCCTCTTAACATATGATGAAAAACAGACACTTGCTACCATTCATACATGTTCTTTCTGTGTGTTTGATGTGCATTGATTTGATTTGTAAGCTCTTTCCATTGTGATCTGCAGGTATTCATGTTTGATCCGTCGTATCATACCAGATATGCGCAATTACTTAACAAAAGCACTCACAAGCCGGTCCACGCTGAGCTGAAGCAACTGTTAATATTTCAGCCAAAATTTTGACGTTCGAGTTGGACCATCATGAAGTTGGTGGAGCATGTATAGCTAATTAGAGCTTAGATCACTGTCTTTTGGCTGAGCTAGGAAGATTTGTTTTCTTAGTTGTATTGTGTAAAGAACACTAGATAAAAAAAAATCATGTTATGTAATATGTACATTGCTAGATTTTTCACTATAATGCCTTAATTTTAGTTGATTCTTAAATGTTGCTCTAAAATTTTATTTTCAAGAATACAAATGTTATTACCAGGCTACAAGGTTTTTTATGAAGAAAATCATGACTTTCGCTTGTAAACCGTCAAGGAACTATAGAACCATGATGAACTATAATTGGTGTGGAATTAATTTGTTTTTGTGAAATTTTAATTATAAAATTAAACAAAAATGATTTTAGTACGTAAAGGCAAGGAAAATGCAGTCTTAATTGAAAAATATACCTATAAAGTTGTTCAGTTCAAACAGTAAAGAAAAAGAATTAATCAGTTTGCCTTAATCAATAAATCTTTATATTCACGATTCATTAACGGCTTGTTTAGATTAAAGGCAATAGAGAGTATATTTCCTCTTATCAAATTAAGATGTTGGTATTTTAATTACATATATTAGTAATTTATTTACGGTCTTTTACCATAAAAATATATTATTTTATAATTTAAATTGTATCAAATTATAAATTAATATTTTTTTATATAAAAATACTATAATATTAAGATATGATTCTTTATCTAAAAATATTTTTTATGCAATTTAATATAATAAATCTAAGACTCCGCATGCTGCCCTAACAGCTTTTCATTTTCTAGAAGAAAAATCTTAGTGCTAATAAGTAGGCTGCGTTCTGGGCTGGGCTTTCCAGTGAGAGAGTTCTGCTCGACTTGCTGGAAACTGAGAACATAGTGAAGAGCAGCTCCAGAATTACTCATGGCCGTACAGCTCTCAGGGCTACGGTTACCGTCTTCGTCACTTCCCACTCACCTCCTCCGATGCCAAACCATTTCCAACCCAAAACGGTCACCATCATTATCGGTTACCGCTGCTCTCTCCTCCCCACCACCCACCATTCAGGCAAGCTTATCCTCCACAATATTGCGTTTTCTATTTACATTATCTCCAACGAATCTGTTCATTTCATCCAATTTCTGGCCAGACGGGAGGATTGTTATGCTAATAGTTATAGTGGTGTTCGGTTGGTGATTCAAAGGAATTTGTTGCAGGTTGTTGGAGGGAAGAACCCGAGTTGGCGTGGAAATGAAAATGGAAGTGGCAATAGCACAGTCGGGGGTAGTCAAGGAGAGAGTGATTGGGTTGATATGGATGCGGATCTTTACTACTGGACAAAGGCGTTGCGTCCTGTTCAGGTGCGCGTAAGGTGTTTGTTGTTTTGCGTGAATGAATTTGCATTTGTTAGTGGGTGACGAAACCGCGAAAGTAAAGTTTTGGATTTGGTGACTGACTGTTATTGCTTTTGAATGTTTCTTGTTGGGTATTGGCAATTGCACAGTGGTATCCAGGTCATATTGCAAAGACAGAGAAGGAACTGAAAGAACAGCTCAAGTTGATTGATGTTGTGATAGAAGTGCGAGATGCCAGAATTCCTTTGTCCACTGGTCATCCACAGGTGAGGGACTTTTGTTGAAGAACTCAATTTTTGTTCATCACTACTATGTTCATTTCCAGAAAATTTCAGAAGGCTTTTTGCTTCTATTGAAAAACTGGGGAGCAACGCTTATAAAAAGTAAACAATCTACTAAATTTACAATATTTTTAATTGATGTTTTAACCCATTTTGCTGCTAATATTATTTAGGACTAAATGCTCCAAGGGAAAATAACCTTCAAACTCTAAAGAGTTAAAGGCACACTTTTCTAGTGTTAACTCTGGTACTGTGTTATAATGAGCAGATGGACTCATGGCTTGGTAATAGGAAAAGAATTTTAGTGTTGAACAGGGAAGACATGATATCAACAGCAGACAGGAATGCTTGGGCTACATATTTTGCAAGGCAGGGTATAAAGGTTGTCTTCTCCAATGGGAAGCTTGGAATGGTATGAAAATAAGAGCTTCATACTTTCTTTTGACATCATTGTTGAAACTAGTTTACTCAAATGGGTATGGCAAACACAGGGAACCATTAAGCTTGGCCGGTTGGCAAAGTCATTGGCAGCAGGTGTTAATGTCAAACGCAGAGCCAAAGGACTCCTCCCTCGTGCAGTAAGTTACCCTGGACAAATGAATCCATGATTTACTTTGTTGTTTTTTGATTTCATCTTTGTTACTCTGGTAATTCGTAGCTGTTAATGGAGCAACTGAAATTGGTGTTTGACACAGGTTCGAGCTGGAATAGTTGGGTATCCAAATGTTGGTAAATCATCTTTAATCAACCGTTTGCTGAAACGAAGAATGTGTCCAGCAGCTCCCAGGCCAGGAGTTACTAGGGAATTGAAGTAGGTGTTCTGATTTCATGACTTACATTGTCATATTTGCATGGATGTTAGAAAGGAACATGGGTGGGTTGGGTTGTAAAAAGAAGTATCACTGACTGTTAAGAAAATAGTGTTAAAGAAATGTGCCTTTTAGGGAAAAAAATGGTTGTTTTATATTGCACTGGTAATATAAAAAATTCAAGGTGGCAAACAATTCATTCTATATTTTATTTTCCTAGGTAGAAATAGAAATAGCTTTCTCAAACTTTTCATATGCAAAATGATGTGGCAAAACAAATCAATTATTGTAAAAATAAAATTAATTTAGTTATGCACTTGCTTCTCTTAAAGATGGGTTCGCTTTGGGAAAGATCTTGAGTTGCTAGATTCTCCTGGAATACTTCCAATGAGGATTAGTGATCAATCAGCTGCAATAAAGCTTGCCATGTGTGATGATATTGGAGAAAGATCCTATGATGCTTCTGATGTTGCTGCAATTCTTGTTCAGATCTTGGTGAGGCTTCCAACAGTTGGTACGTAAGACATCTCTTAACTAGTGTCTAGTGTTCCCCACAACACCCCCCCCCCCAAAAAAAAAAAAAAAAGAAGAAAAAGCCAGCATCTAGTGTTGCTTTTCCTTTTTCCATGCTATAATAAATACACTTCCTTGTTTATCTAAGGTAGATCCTGTTAGTCTAAGAAGAGTTAGAATTTGCACTACAGAAGATTTTAACTCAGACAAGATATAAGTGTGGAGCAATTGAACAAATTAGGGATTTTGAGACCATAAATGGTAACACTTTCTTAATACCTTTATTTAACAAGCTTCCTAGATAACAAGGAAAATGTTTCTTTTACGTGAGAATATAAATACTAGTATCAGTTTTCTTTATAATGTTGAGCAATCTGATGAGGACCTACAAGAATAGTCCATAGATTTATAAAAGTTAAATTATTTAATTGACACTACAAGATTATTTATTTATGTGAAGAGTTGCTTTTCTAGGCTGCAAAACTTTGTTCTTTTTTGGACATGTAATAAGTTACTGGATATTCATCTTTTGTCCAATTTCTGCTGTTATCATCTGATTCTAGTCCCTGTTTTATCTCTTATTTATGTATGTATATGTTCTATATATATATAGAACTGCAATTATCTCTCATTTATATTAAGTTTATGAATGGAAATATGGTATTGTTTAGTCTGAACCCCTCTTTCTGAATGGAAAGTTGGGCAGCATTCTACTACAACTAAGCATTGGGGTATGCTTATTAGTCATTACAACATTCAAGTGCTGCAAAAATATTTTTTATTGGAACAAAGAATGATATTATTGCAAAAAAGAGCACTAGGGGTAATAATGGATGATAGCTGCAAAAATTACAAAGATCAGTTCTTGGGATTTCTTGGGATTTCAGTCTTCAAACTGTGAACCACAGTTACCTGCTGCTTCCTGATTTTTTTACTTTTCCAGGTATGAAGGTTCTTCAAGACCGCTACAAGATTGATGCAGATGGTCACTGTGGTAAAACGTATGTCTTACTATGCTGCTTTAGTGGTTTTTATTTGAAACAACGCACTGATGGACATAAAATGTTAAAAGTCCAAACAGGGAGAACAGTCAGGCAAATAAAAACCATATTTCTATTAAGCATACTAGAAAACTCATAATAAGCCGTCTTCAACTGTGCAGTTAGGGCTTTAGGAATCTTTCCATGGGAATTTAATAGTATTCCTGGTATTTTATTTGATGTGAACTCCAGACTGATTCAGTTAATTTCATGGACTTTAGATTTGTTCAAAAGCTAGCAGTGCATTTGTTCAATGGGGAGGTCAATCAAGCAGCATTCCGTGTCTTGTCAGATTTTCGGAAAGGGAAGTTTGGTTGGATTGCACTAGAAAGGCCTCCTAGATAGTGTGTTGAAGCACGTGGTGCAGGGCTTCCAAGGCTACCATTCGCAACTCTTGTTCCCTTGAGTGATCCGATGTTGGTGTTGGAAACAGAAGTTCAAAATTTGTCAAATATGGTGTTGCTATGATAAGACAGTAACGTTGCAACCAGAAGAAGACGCTTCATTATGTTGCAATAGCAATATTTAAGGAAGCATTGGCAATTGGGCACTGGGGCTGGGTGCCGTGAAGGGCCGAAATGGAGACTTTATATTTAATCGTCCTATTTTCAGGTTCTCTCTACGCCTTCACCCTTCTTCTAACAGTTAAACTGATCTGCATTGTATGCTGCTGCTCTCTGAATCTTGTATAGAAAATTTTATTTCATAAAAATAAATTTTCATAAGGATGACAATCTCGCCATATCAGTACCGGTTTCCTAAGTACTATATACTGTATTTTTGTTTGTCAATAAATATATATATATATATGTATACAAGGAGAACTCGTTTAGATATAAATTTTACATATTATATTTAGATAAAATTTTAATTATTTATTTTTTTATTTTTAATAATTAAAATTTATTATAATTTTTTAAATAAAAAAGATAATTATTTTTAATAAATATAAATAAATCTTAATATTATAAGTAAAAAGATAAATAATTAAAATTTTATATAAATATGATATGTAAAATTTATATTAAAATTATATTTAAATAAAACTTTATATGTATACTGTATTTTATCCTCAGTCAACTTTTTGCGTATATATTGACCACAAGGATTCAGTTCCATCCTATTATAAGATATTTGTTTGTTCTGATTTGTTGATACGGAGGATGTTTTTTTTTTCAAAGGAAAGTAATTACATTACAATAGCATATTAGGGATAAACAGTAATATTAGAAGTCGAATTCAAAATTAGAACCAAAGTGTGACACTACTGGACCACAAACGTTGTTGGCGTGGCTACCAACGTTTCTGTTCCATTTCGTATACTGTTTATTTTGACTAGTGGATGCCAATGATTCGTGTTGCAAGGTATTGTCTGTTTTTTTATATTACTTTTTTTAGTATTCGATAATCAAATTAGATTTTGATTAATTCAAAATTAAGTTACTCGGACTCTATTTGGGGAAGCTCGCTCAATGCTTGTTTCTCCATTCATAATATTTGAAATCTTATTTAAAAATAATTAAGTTTTTTTCACTCAGACTAACAAATCGTTGTAAAGTATTATCTATTATTAAATAAAAAGGCCACACAAAAAAAAATTGTTAGGCCATAGAAAAATGGTATAAATGTATTTGTTTTAATTAATAAAAATAATTAATAATTAACAAACTATAATATTTTTTAAATAAAATAATATTTTTAAGTATCTTTTTTTTTAAGGATTAAGTATCTTAATTATTATAAACAAATAAAATTAAACGCACTGCCCTTAAGACCTAGTGGCATAGCTACGGTGCATTCCCCCTCCCCCGGCAAGGTTCAAAACCTGCCCTTGCAAAATATGTTCAAAAAAAAAAAAAAAAAAATAAATAACATATGTCTAAAATTGTGTATCCCTAATAATTATTTATGTCCCCATAACATTGCGTAGTAAAAAGAGGTGATTTCTTGAAC